AATTTTACATGTTATGTAAATGTTATTTCAGTTATTATTTGATAGAGACAATGTAACACATTCCATGCTTAATATATACAGTACATATATTTTCACATGCATACAATATACGTAAAATTTTACACTTCTCCAACTTGCTGCCCTCTATATGTGTTGGGTATACAACACATGCTCCAACATTGACTAGGAACAGTGGGAGTTTAGTCCAACACACCTGGAGAGCAGATGACTGGGAAAGGTTGCCATAGGGCAGAAAGGAGCAAACAAAATCCATGTTTCAGTACCTCTTCTGTAGACTCCAGAAAATTACTTTAAAAGCAATTTGTTCTTGTTACTCATTAAAGTGCTTTAAAATAATCCATTGCTACTCACTGGCTTAAATCCAGCAACATAAAATTATACCACAAAAGGCACTGTAGATGTATTAGGGCTCTATTGAATATAAAAAAATATTAAAAAGTTCACAGACCTGGGAAATGTTTGGCTAAACAGAGCTTCTAATTGAATCTGCACACATATTTGTTCTACAACTCTTATGCAGATTGCCTTTACCTCCATAATTACCCCAGTGTTTCAGGGTTCAGTGTAACAGCTCTCATAAGGCTAAAAAGTAATCTGTAAACATAGCTACATTAATAAATTCTAACATTTAAATTTCAAGTTCTCTTCAAAAATCAATTTTTTTTACAACACAAGAAAACAAAATACAGAAGGGTAGCAGTATGATTCTCCAATAAAGAAATCTACCATTGTTTAAATTCAAAAGTTTTCATAATTCTACCTTTGGCATCAGCATGAACCACAGAGGACTGAGAGATTAACACGTATGCTTCATACCCCAAGCAGGACAATGCTGAGAAAGCAAGTGTTCTTCTAAATAGCCTCAGCTTTTCTAACACCTGAAAAAGACAGATTCAAAAACAACAATTCTAAGAACAGTCACATAAATTAACATCAACTGAATCAAGCAGAATTTTCTTCTATATAAACATCAGATTCAATCTGAATTTTAATTCTACAGCTGTAAAACTGAGCTATATTTCATAACTTGTATCTATATTTCAATACTTATAAACTGACTGTGAAACACATCTTGCAGGCCCAAAGGTACTTCTGCAGTGGCCGCCACCTCTTTGATGCCAAGCCCTCCTTCTTTAGCCCAGCTACTGATTCCCCACTCCCACCCCAGCTTCGCTGAGCGAGGGAAATTAAAGACCACCGGGATTTATGTTTACTCTTCGTAACCTAAACCAACTGTATAACAAAGTTGCAGTTTGCACTGCCATAGTCTGCCTATTCCCTTTTTAATCTGAAGGACCCACATTACTTTAACTCGTCTTCTGGATGCTCCCAAGTAAATCATTCATTGATTACAATAATTTATAACCTAACTTTCATGACAGAATCATTTCAAGGTGACCACGTACAGTGGACCCTCGACTTACAGACGGCTTGACTTACAGACTTTTCAAGTTACAGACTTCTCTGGCCGCAAAATTTAGGTTTACCTTGCAGCCAGAGAATCAACCTACAGACCAGAAAAAAACCAAAATGGAGCAAAAATGGGGAAAAAAACCAGCCAGTTATGGGATTAATTGGTTTTCAATGCATTGTAGGTCAATGGAGACTTGACCTACAGACTTTTCGACCTGCAGCTACCGTTCCAATACAGATTGATTCTGTAAGTAGAGGGTCCACTGTACCAGAATGTCAGCAACAGCCACCCCAAAAAATGATGGCTCCAGATCAAGTTAGAAGACAGACAAGTATCTATTTTCTATCTAGCCTGTATTTTGATATCTCTCCTGAAATCTTTGCACTGAGAGGTTGGCAGAAGATGGCCTTGTGGCAAGGGACAGAAAGTCCCGCTGAAACACACTCTGACTTCTTCCTTGCTTCCTCTATCCTGAAAATAGTAAATGTATGTCCCTATAATGACTATAGGTGGAGACAGCTATAACCGGAAAAGGAGCTCATGATGGCTTCTCACAAAACTGGGTGCTGACTACAGTTCTGTCTAGGTCCACAAAGGCTGTAGAGAAAAGCAGATTATTTGTAATATATGGGACAGTGTTGTTTTGCATGGTACATTTTACACTGCAGGAATTTTCAGAACTAGTGGTGTATGACTGGGCATACAGTGGTAAAATTTAGCATAAGGGCCTCATAATCGCTTTGCTTCTGATCACTCAACTCTGGAGTGGGCAGAAACAACTTGAGGTGCTCTGGTATTTGGTATTAATGGGTCAAAGTCTTTCAGTGGGAAAGATATTCTGGAGGAGCTGTACATGCACCCACATCACTCTTGGGCTACCATCCTGCCCCTGATTAAAACCAAGCACAAGGTTTTTTTTTCAGAACACCCACAAACTGTGAAGAAACAGCAGAGAATACCAGGACTACAATGCGGAGTTGGCAGAACAAAAGTGAACCTCAGAAAATTTGCACTGAGAGTCCTTTGTAAGTATGGAGAATAAGCAACTTCATACCTACATCAAGGGTAGTTTATGCTCCTTAACATGCTCTATAGAAGATCTGATGCCCTGTCCAAATGCCCTTGAGGTTGCCCATCACAGGATGAAAATATCTGATCTAGGTATTAATGATCTATGGTGCTGCTTCTGTCACAAACGAAGAAAGTGGGGAAAATGTCTTTATTTTTTTTAAAAGGCGAGTCGACAAAGCTGTAATTTGCTCAGAAAAACCCGCAGCAATGATAGGTCACAGCTTAACCTGACAGTCAGGGCACTGGATGCAGAAAGGGCGACCGGATCACAGGCGACCCAAGAGGCGGAAGGGGAGGGAGGCGAAAGCGGTATGAAGGGGAGACTTCCTACCTAAAGCCGAACGGCGCTGTACGGAGGCCGGTGCTACTAGGCTTGCCGTCCCCCCGGAATAGCCTCAATACACATTGGAAAGAAGCAACAGGGAGAGTAAAAAGCAGCGCACGCCTGAGCGAAAGCACACCTCGCTTCCTCCTCCTCCTCCTCGAGCGGAGAGAGCTTGCCTCTGCCAGCTGAGGTTTGCCCTTGGAGCTTCCCAGGAGAGTCGGGTCCTCCTCAAAGAGGCACAGCGGGAAAAGCGCCGCGCTGCTCCTGCAGCCACGGACGCCGCCATGATAGAAAGTCTCCTCCTTTTTCCACGCTCCCCTCCCCCGTTAATTACTGGCGGAAACAGTCACAGGTCGAGGGAACCGCATTTCTCAGCTGTACTCCCGGTGTGACCATTTGAAGGGGTCGGGCCGGTACAGAAACTTCTTGCTTAGGGTGCCGCCGTCTTCGGGGCGTGGCCCGACCCTTCCCTATTTCGCGGACGGCCAATCCTCTTGGATTCCCCGCGCACGAGAATTTCACCCCCTCATGACATCACGAAGTCATGTTAGTATTTCCTCATGGAGGGAGGATACCACGTGACTCAAGGGGTCCACGGGCACGGGGCGTCAGCAAGGCTTAGCTTTGTGTGGAGTTCCTAAAGAAGTTTTTTTTTAAAAAAATATATACTTGTGATTGAAAAACAACAACAACCCACAAACAAACGAACAACGCATGCGCACAGCGTAGTTCAGCCCCCCCCTGGTTCACATGTGGAGTCTGTGGGATTTGGGTTACACAACCCCTGAGGGCGGGGAGAGGGAGGAAAAGGGAAGGGCGTAGGTGAGAGGCGCCACCTTGGGTGAGGTAGCTGGGAGGCTTGCGTTCGTATCCTCTGGAGCCGGGTGAGGCCCTACCTGGAAGGAGTGAAGACGCGTGCTCCCTGGAGGTTTGTACAGCGCCTAGCACACCCTGCCGACGGCGTCAATGGCAGAGCTCTTGGAGGGGCGTGGGGGGGGCGAGGGGCTGTTCAAGAGGGAGAAGGAAAGAGAACCGGGGATAGGGGCCAGTCGCAGCTGCAAACTTCTGTTGGGTGGTATGTGTGTGTGTGTGGGGGGGCTTGGTGGGGAGACTCGAAATAAATTGGTGCAAGGAATCGGCATGTTAGTAATACAATGCGCTCTTGGGCGGGGCCGTTTCCCCCCAAAGCTTGGAAAATTATAACATGTAGAAGAGGTCAGGTCTCATCAGGCTTCAACTTGCTTCTAGGGGAAAAAAGAGTTAAAGATTATTTTAAAAAACGCAAGCGAAACATACTTTGAAAACCGAATAATAAAGGGCTGCCAGTTTCACGTGCAAAATGAGCTTAGAATTAGCTAGGATTTGTTACTCAGAATTTGCTAATATTCATGTGGGTTCCCTCCAATGCAGATAGTCTTGAAGTTTTTGGAAGTACAGTAAAAGTATTATCATCATCTTAGAACGGCAGAGCTGGATCATCAAGTCCAGCGGTCTTGTGGCACCTTAAAGGCTCGGAAGTTTTATTATGGCGTAAGTCTTTGAAGACTGCCTTGGAAACTTACAACATAATAAAACCGGGTTTTATTAAGTTTGTTTAAGTTTTTATTAAGTCTTTGAAAGTTTATGACATAATGACGCTAGCTAGCTTTAATGTGATCAATGTTGGTTTAGTTTCCTGTCAAGGAGTCGGAGGAATAGTCTTCTGTATAAATGGATGGGCTCCCAGTTCGAGTGTTTGGGTGGGTACATTTGCTTTAAGGTCTGTATTTCCTTAAATAAAAGCCATATTTGATGAAAGTTGCAGATGTGGTCAAATTCAGCATGAGTTAATGCGTATTGTGGTCTAGGTATTAGCAGGGGGGGAGATTAGGTGTGGTTCTTGTGTACTGTACTAATGGGGAGCCTAAGGAACTGAAGACCTTCCTTTCTGTTTCGTACATGGTGTGTTTTCAACTTAGAGAACGCTTAAGTTCTTTAACATTTGCCATTTCTCTGCTGTAACAAACATATGAAGAGGGAAGATCAGATTTATGTTCTTAAGCATAGAGGGACAGACGGAAGCATCACAGCTCCTTGACTAGACTGGGATGGATGTTTTGGCCCTTTTGTGTTTTATTTATCTTCTATGTGGAGAGGAGGTATCTGTGTAGTACCCATGTAACTGCATAAAAACATAATTTTAATTCCTCCATCCACCTTTTTGTCATATTGCTTGGAACGTAAGCTTTTCTGAGCAATGGGAAGTGAGGGCTTTAAATCCGAATCCCCACCAAGCATCAATTTTGATAATGCTAGAGATTGTGGCCACAGCACTTGACATCATGGGACTTTCAGTTGAAGCATCTGGTGAAAGGTTTTTCTTAGCAACCTGCCCCCTCTCCTTTTTCTTGGGTGAGGAAGGAACAGGAAGATCAAAGTGGTGGATGAATCCTGATCAAGATATGTGCCCCCTCTCCACCATTGTGCCACATTGTGCAGCAACCAGAAGAAGATGGCATGACTGTAAAATAAAACATCCCCTGAAAATAAGCCCTAATGCATTTTGGAGCAAAAATTAATGTAAGACCCTGTCTTACTATCTGAGATCACTTGTACTGCCTTGAGGCCACAGCATTTTACGTATAATAATCCTTATTTCTCACATTGAGGCAGAATTTGAAAAAAGTTCAGACATAATGGCAAATCAAGGTAACCTAAACTGTATATTTCAAAGTAGGGTTTCAGATACTTGTTATTTGGTCCAGAATAAATGATGGTTTGTGGATAGTTTCAAATATTAAAACAGACCATTATTTAGCTCATTGGTTAGCTAAACAAACCATGGCTTCATGCTGTATCTGCTATAAAGGTAAAGGTAAAGGTTCCCCTTGACAATTTTTTGTCCAGTTGTGTCCGACTCTAGGGGGCGGCGCTCATCCCGCTCTTCAAGCCATAGAGCCAGCGTTTGTCCAAAGACAATCTTTCCGTGGTCACATGGCCAGTGTGACTTTTAGACATGGAACTGCTATACCTGAATCCAAATTTGTTTTGGGAATAAATCTTGCTGATCATCTTTCCTTCACACAAGCTATGGTTTAAGTAGGGGAGAGTGAGTTCTCTGTAGAGGTTGCAATTGCAACTTAGAGAAAGGTGGCACATTATCTCCTATTTCTGATAAATCCTTGGGCTTTCAAGGACTTTTGGTGTGACTCAGCATGGGAATGCTTGCATTCATGTTGTGATTAACAATGCAATTGTAAAGGAGCACTGGACTTGAAAACAGCAACAAGAATTAACTGGAGTAGAAGGGCTGAATCAGGTGTCCAGGTCCATTAGATGTGTGAAGAAATGTGAAGCAACTCTGCAAATATATACATACATACAGATTTTGGACATTTTTTAAAATTTATGCTTTATTAGGTAGGAGAAAAGACCCAAGGTAGCAAGGTCTCTACTTAAAAACAAGGACAAAAAACTTTTTTTGAAAAAGCTGCAGAGGGCAGATATCTTTGATATAAAATGTTGTTTACTACGATTTTTTGTTCTACATCATTGTGAAAGAGAAAGGTAAGTCATATAGATAGGTTTTATCTCCACAGAACATTTTTCAGTATTTTCCAAGCTGTAGCCTTAGCTGTATTGTTTTGCTATCACCTTTGCCAGTTATTGTGGAAACATGCTGTAATAAAATGGCTGCATGGATATTTGCTCACAAGTCAGAAGAAGCAAAGAGCATTGTGGCACCTTGAACAGTAATGTATTTATTGTGCCATAAATTTCTGTGGGCCCCAATATACTCTCCCCCCCCTGAAAATAAGAACTAAACTGAAAATAAGCCTAGTATGATTTTTCAGGATGCTCATAATATAAGCCCTACCCCCAAAATAAGCCCTGGTTAAGTGAAACCATGCCCTCCACTATTGTTCAGCAACCAGACGAAGATGACATGACTGAATTTTAATAAATGTAGATTGTTGTCAAAGAAAAAAAATTAAAGCATCCCCTGAAAATAAGCCCGAATACATTTTTAAAGCAAAAATTAATATAAGATCCTGTCTTATTTTCATGGAAACATGGTACAGTGGTGCCTCGCTTAACGGGTGCTCCGTTTGATGACAAAATCGCTAGATGTCGATGTTTTTGCGATCGCAAAAGCGATCGCAAAAGCATATTCCCTATGGGGGAATTTCGCTTTGCGATGATCGGTTCGCTGCTTTGGGAACCGATCATCAGAAAGCGATAATTTTTGGCCAGCTGATTGGCGGTTTCAAAATGGCCACTGGGTAAACAGAATGGCTGCCCGCTCTTTTCTGGCACGGATTCCTCGCTGCACAGGCAGCGAAAATGGATGCGCTATGGAGGATCTTCGCTGGATGGTGAGTTTCAAGCCCCTAGGAACGCATTAATATATGGGCTTTTCTAATCTATGCATTTCTATGGGCTTTTAAAAATCGCATTACAACGTTTTCGTTTTACAGTGATTTCGCTGGAACGAATTAATGTCGTAATGTGAGTCACCACTGTAGTTACGTCTCACTTTTCATCCTTAGGTAAATGTTCCCCTTGACATCTAGTCCAGTCATGTCCGACTCTAGGGCGTGGTGCTCATCCCCGTTTCCAAGCTGTAGAGCCAGCGTTTGTTCATAGACAGTTTCTGTGGTCACATGGCCAGCGTGACTAGACATGGAATACCATTACCTTCCCACCGTGGTGGTACCTATTTATCTACTCACATTTTTCCATGCTTTCAAAGTGCTCGGTTGGCAGGAGCTGGGACAAGTGACAGAAGCTCAGTACATCGCATGGATTCGATCTTACGACTGCTGGTCTTCTGACCTTGCAGAACAAAGGCTTCTGCGGTTTAACCTGCAGTGCCACCATGTCCCCTTTTCATCCTTAGTAATGTATAAAAGAGCTTGGAAATATGGTGTCATATAGCCCACTGGTTCTTAACCTTGGGTTACTCAGGAGTTTTGGAGTGCAACTCCCAGAAGCCTTCACCACCAGCTGTTCTGACTGGGGTTTCTGGGAGTTGCAGTTCTAGTACCCATGTAACTGCAAGAGCTTGGAAATATGGTGTCATATATTATAGCCTATTATAAAATCCCAGAACCTTTGAAAAGACAAACTACTTCAGAGAGAGAGGGGCTTAAGGCCTATACCCAAAAAAGGGATTGATTGTATCTCCCTTCTTCAGAGTTGCTTCATTGAATTAGCAGCAAGGTACTTTTTGCTCAAAATCTCAAAATCCATGATCAGGCTTTTTGAGGACCAAGCGAAATGTTGCAAAGCAAAGAGCAAATTTTCACGTTTTTGAGAACATAATGAGTTTGGATGTTAAACAATGCCAGTGGGCATTCTTGCTCTGTGTTAAGGACATAGAGTCCGCAGCTTTTGATCAGGGAAGATAAGAGGAGGTTGCTGACTTGAATAGTTTGGGCTCTGTGAGGTGTTATTGCATGATTCAAGTTGCACCTAGGGTGGCCATCACAATGGTAGAATAACAAAACATGAGAATATAAATCCAGATAGTGTGCCTTTCTTTCTTTGTAGGCCAAATAGACATGTTCCTTGTTGAAGGTGAAATAAAAAGAAACTAGCTAGATTTTATATTAACACAAAGCTGTACATTAGTTTCCATTTATTGCTTAGGTAAAAAAAAGGTTAATATGAACCTAAGTAGATAAGATTGCTTGGTAACTGTTTGTTATATATTGTTTATTGGTCTGTTTTTGCTTTTGCCATTTTATTTCTTTATTATACTGTTGTATTTGCTTTATTTGCCTTGCACTATTTGGGCGGTATGAAAGTTGAATAAATAAATAAATGGATAAATAATTGGGGGGGTAGTTAACAGTGCTTATGGCATTTTAAAAGACTAATAGACAATGGCCTACAGTTCTCTAAATGCCAGTCTCACTGGGATCTGTGGGATTCACTTTTGAAAAGACACACCTGTGTTTGTGCTGGCTTTGCCCTTTAAGCTTCTGTAGGCAAGACCTTGACTTCAGGTGCATGATTTCTTTTGTTGATTGGCATGTAGGTGTGTTGTGTATTTGTCTGCCTAAATATGGGCTTACAGTTGGTAGTTCAACTAGTTGAACAAATTAAGATTGTGTGTTCTGTAAATGGATCTCTGTGACTGCAGTACTTTTGCATAGCGAATTTATCTCTGAAGAGAGAGAAAGAACAAACTGCTGGCAATTACGGTATTTAAAGTCCTTTTTCTATATCAGTCTTATTTTCCTAATGGATGAATCTGATACTCTTCTGCAGTGGAAATCATATGCTTATTCAAGATAGCTGATCCCTTCCAGACAGCTGTATTTGAAACAATGGGTGGATTGGTACCATGTGCATGTTCTATCATCCATTAGCCTGGGTATTTTGTGTGGCACCTTTTCCCTTAAAAGAGGGATGGGTAACTTCTGGCTCTCTAGATCAGTGGTCCTCAACATTTTCTGTGTGCAGGGGGTGTGCTTGTGGATGGGCGGGGTGCGGTTATGCGCAGATGGGTGGGGTGTGCTCATGCGCATTCATGGATGGGTGGGGTGCACTCGTGGGTGGGGCACCCATGCGTGTGGGTGGGCATACTGTGCATGCGGGGGAGAGTGCATGCGGGGGTGGGAGATCTGTCTGCGCGGGGGTGTGTGCTTGTGGATGGGCGTGGTGCGCTCATGCGCAGATGGGTGGGGTGTGCTCACGCGCATTCATGGATGGGTGGGGTGCGCTCGTGGGTGGGGCACCCATGCGTGTGGGTGGGGATACTGTGCATGCGGGGGGGAGTACATGCGGGGGGGGAGATCTGTCTCTGTGGCCTGATCCTACCATGGCCATGGACTGGCACTGGACCGGGGCTTGGGGACCCCTACTCTAGATTATGCTGGACTTTGGGTCCCATAATCTTGCATCATGGACTAGATATGATGATTGGAATTGTTCAAGTGTTGGAAGATTGCAAGTTGCAGGCCTCTGCTTTAAAATCTAAAAACCTAACTTTATGGTGTTTGAAAGTGGGATGTGGGTTCAGGTTCTCACTTCTTCATTCCTCCCAGGACTTGGGGACCCCTGCTCTAGATTATGCTGGACTTTGGGTCCCATAATCTTGCATCATGGACTAGATATGATGATTGGAATTGTTCAAGTGTTGGAAGATTGCAAGTTGCAGGCCTCTGCTTTAAAATCTAAAAACCTAACTTTATGGTGTTTGAAAGTGGGATGTGGGTTCAGGTTCTCACTTCTTCATTCCTCCCATACAACTTCGTTGGAGTTTTAGAAATGGTTCCAAGAAGAAACCCACATGTAGTGCATGTGTTTTGTTGAGTCAGGTTTGGGGTGGGGGCAGGGAACCTGAAATTCCAGCTGTATCTCAAGGGGCTTAAGAACGTTTAGGTCTGTGTGGAATCAACCTGGAGTTGTTACAATTAGAATCTGTCATATTTTTTTTCTTCCTTAAAGGGTGTTTGTCCATTTCTTCTCATCCAGTGCAGCAGATGGCAGCACAATGTGTAACAAAGGTGGAGCTGACCATCTCCTGCAACAATCTCCTGGATAAAGACGTCAGCTCCAAGTCAGACCCACTGTGCGTGTTGCTGCAACACACAAGTGGACAGCAGTGGTATGAGGTACAGTATGATGAGGCCTCTTAACCTTTCATAAACTGTTTGCTTGTATACAGTGTTCCTCATTGGCATTCAGCTGTTGTTAGGAAAGATGTAAGTGCAAGAATTCTTCCTTCATCTTTGCCCCATCCTGCTTGGATGTTAAGACACTGTGTTTATGGTACTTAAGAATCACACCCTAGTGGGATTTCTTATATAATTAATCTTAGAGTACAATTCTGCTTCTTTTTTATACATAAAAATGCTTATTTTGTTTTAATGTATATGTATAGGTTTGTATCCAGTGGTTGATGCCTATCAACAGAAGTGTGGCTGAGGGAGTGGATTGGGACACATGGGGAGTCCAGGAAAAAAAGGGGGATAGCATAAACAGACATCTATTTCCATGATATATGAAGCCTACATTTGCCACGTCCCGGATAAGCATGTTTATAACTTTTAAATGACATATAGAATCTAAGAAGTAAAAGAATGAGTATGAAAAACTAAATAAAGAATAATCAGTGTGTCAATATCAGTGTATTGCAGAGTAGCATCTGTGCAGTTTGCCTTAATCATAACCAACATTCACTCTTATTTTCAGCCCTTCTGGACTGGGCTCTGTTCCTTGCGTGCAGCTCCCCCCTCCCGCGCAGGGCTCTGTTGTAACCAGAACTAAGGGACTGAAAATGATCACTGTGGGAGGTGGGAGGAGAAGGATCTTTTTGCAAAGGGGGGCAGAATCGCGCAGGCAAGCACCTTAGAGGGAATCTTGATCATAACTAATTTGACCTCATTTTAGTACAGTCGTGCCCTGCTTAACGATTACCCCGCATTATGACGAATCCGCTTCACAAACAATTTTTTAAATCGGGTTTTTTCGCTTAGCGAAGATCGGTTCCCTGCTTCGGGAACAGATTCTTTGCATTACGACGATCAAAACAGCTGATTGTTGGGTTTTCAAAATGGCCGCCGGGTGCTCAAAATGGCTCCGTGCTGAGCTTAGGGACCGATTCCTCGCTATACAGGCACCAAAAATGGCTACTGTATGGAGGATCTTCGCTGGACGGTGAGTTTTTAGCCAATTGGAACGCATTAACTGGGTTTTAATGCGTTTCAGTGGGTTTTTTATTTTCGCTTTATGACGTTTTCGCTCTACAGCGATTTCTCTGGAACAAATTAACGTCTTTAAGTGAGGCACCACTGTACTAGGAGCCTCATGGATCAGTGGTTAAACTGCAGTACTATAGCAAAAACTGCTCACAACCCAGATTCAATCCCAGGTAGTTGGCTCAAGGTTCACTCAGCCTTCCAGCCTTCTGAGGTTGGTAAATTGAGTACCCAGCTTGTTGGAGGGGAGGCAATGTGTAGCTTGCACAATTAAATTGCAAACTGCCCAGAAAAAGCTTTTAAGTGCTATGAGTGATATATATGCAGCACACTTCACCTTTTAGCTTTGCTTTTTAATTCTAACTGTGTCTGGATCCATCATAATACTGATTCAGCATCAACCTGTGTATTGCATATGATATAACAAAGAATATGAAGATGGAGATTCATTTGCTGATGGACACAGGAGTGCCTCCCTTAATGAGATGTTGCTTTGCCATCAAAATTTACTTAATTCCCTTATGCAAACATAAATTGTCAGGGGAGTGATTTTTTAAAATATTACTCTTGATTTTTTAAAGATATTTGTGTGTACAGTTTTTAGAGCAAGAACAGTAAAACATAAATTCCACCACAGCCCAAAACATATGTACTTAGGAAAAAAATTAAGAGAAATAAACAAGATTTGTTTGTAATTAAGTAGCCTTAGAACTGATGCTGAATCTCTAGTTATTACCAAGAGTTAGTATTTTAAAATTCCTATCATTCAAAAATAGGCACTCTGTGGTAATCTATGAATTTAAAAAGTCTGTAGGAACTGGAGATATTTTTATCTGGCAACATATCATATTTTGGGTACTTGATAATTTGTAGTGTCATATCAGTGCTTATTTTTGTACATTGCTAGATTTACAGGCAGATGCAGTTTATAATTCCCATTAAACCTAATGAGTGGAATCTTATAAATTTTACAAGCTGGTGTAATATGATTAGTATAAGTCTTGGTACTAAATTGCTGCAAGTTAAGAATTTGGCATAAACATTTGCTGTTGCAGACTTAGTCAACCACTCGCCTCAAAGATTTATGCTATTTTTGTAGTAGGATTCGGCCAATGGGGTTGGGCTTCTGGATAAGTAGATAGGTGTTGCGACCTTTGCACCTTTTCTCTTCTTTTCAAGATGGGCTGTGAGATGTAATATTTATTTCTCTGAACCATTGTGTGCTGGTGCCTTCTGCTTTATTGCAGGTTGATCGCACAGAAAGAATCAAGAACTGTTTGGACCCCAAGTTTTCTAAGAGATTCCTAATTGACTATTATTTTGAGCTAGTGCAGAAGCTCAAATTTGGCGTTTATGACATCGACAATGCAACTGTTGAGCTGAGTGATGATGACTTTTTAGGAGAATTTGAATGTACACTGGGGCAGGTAGGTATAAAGAGTTGGATACAAAGCTTAGATGTTCTCTTGTCACCTTGATTCTGCCCCCAGATATAGGTTTTGTCCTAAAATCCTTATTATGCTGTTATTCACTGATTCCTTTCAAGTGTGATAATCTTCTGGTATACAGGAATTAGCAGTGTCTATATATGTCAGCATTTTCTCTTTTTCAGTGAAAATCAAAAGACTACATTGTTTTCTTTCTAAAAAAAATTCTGTCCTTTGGCATGACATTGTTGCAAATTTACTCACAAGGGTTCTTGTCTTATTTTTGCTGATGAATTAAAATAGATTGTTAACAGTTTGGAAGTCAGAACAGTACTGGGAAAATAAAAAAATGGCTGTGGATTTATTGATACAGATTAACTGGTGATGGACATCCCTTCAGATATAAGTACACAGCATGTACTTATACAGGAAACAAAAAAAATTAAAGGATTCTTTTAGCACCTTACCAGAAGCTGATTTGAGGAGTACAATTAAGGGCATATATTTTTGTCTATATATGTTCTCTTTGCTATGCTTTTTCACATACAGCCTGTTTAAAGGTAATTTTTGCTTTATTGTTGGAATCTGTGTTTGTCCATAATTAGCTGTTCAGACATGATGCCTCAGCTTCACAAATTGTGAATTTTTTTTACCCTGAGAACAAGGGTTGGGTCTGCACACTTGTCTTCCCTCTCTCTTCTTCTACACAAGTTTTGCTATCTTTTTGTGGCATGTGTAAGCAAATTTTCCTGTTACATTTTGTAGACATAACTTGTTTTTTTCCCAGCCTCTAGCTACCAAATGTGGTTACAATTTCTGTGTAGGTTTTCTGACTGGTAGCATTAAATGTGGCAAAACTACACAGATTGTCCACCCGGTCTTTCTTTTATAAATATTTTGCATATGTGAAACCCTCTGTCATATAAATGCTTTAGTATAAGAAAAGCATTGCTGCCCTTTGTGACCAGAATAAATTCTATGTAATTTACTGAACTCAGTGGTCATATTTTCTGTAGTGTAGGCAGAAAATACCACTACTTGAGACAAAATGTTTTGTTTTAGGAACCAAACATAAAAGGCATGTAAGAGGAGTCACTTTTATTGGGGAATAAAGTGACATTTCAAATACAAGTTCAAAATTGCTTAGATATAGGTGTACAATATGTTCTTAATACATAAGGAAGTTCAACTCTGGATAGTAAGAGCTCAGCTTTTTCCTTTTACATCCACCCTCCCTTCCCCACCCCAAATATGTCCAAATTACATGTAATGGAAAACAGTTGAGCACTTGGGTGTGATTCATGTTATATGTATTTTTATTGTTTATTCTTATCCCTTCCCCACCCCAAATATGTCCAAATTACATGTAATGGAAAACAGTTGAGCACTTGAGTGTGATTCATGTTTTTAGGTTTTTAAAAAATGATATATATCTTATACTGTGCATCTGAGTTGGCCCTGTGAGGGTCCCCTGCCATAGTCTTCAATAGTGTTGAGTTAATGAACATTTACAAATACTATAAATTTTTTGAAAAAAGTTTTTTTGTATCTCATTTTTGGGGGGATGTTTCTGTATTTTCAGATTGTTTCTAGCAAAACGCTCACCAGACCTCTAATGTTGAAAAATGGCAAACCTGCAGGAAAAGGAAGGATTACGGTATGAAAATGTAGTTAATTTCTTTTGGTGTATCATTCTGAACAAAGAGTTTGATTCCTGGCATTAAAAAAATTTAGAAGTCAAGAAATATAGCTACCTAATGATAAAATATTCTGAAGTTTTACAGGATTAAAGCTGCTGCCTTTTTAAATACAGTGGTGCCTCGGTTAACAACCATAATCCATTCCAGAAGATGGACGTAACTCAAAATGGTCATAAGTCGAAGCACCATTTTCCATAGAAATGCATTGGAATGCAATTAATCCATTCTGGCCAAAGAAAAAAAATCACACCAAAAAATCCCACTGCAAGACTCTGGAAATGCAATTAATCCCTTCCGGCCGAAGGGGGGTGGGGGGAAAAAAGCAAGCAAGTGTGCAAGACCCATTGGAAATGCACATGGGGGAAAGAAAAGCAACCAAGTGTGCAAGACCCATTGGAAATGCACAGAAAACAAATGGAGCAGATCAGAAATGCACGGAGAACAAAGGGACCAGGTTGGAAATGCAAAGAGGACAAAGGGAAAAGCATGGGAAACAGGCAAGACCATTGGAAATGGGGGGGGGGGACCAAAAAAAGCAACCAAATCCCCCAAGACCCATCGGAAATGGGGAAAAACCCCTAAAGCAACCAAAACCCCCAAGAACCATTGGAAATGGGGAGGGGGAGCAAAAAAAAAAAGACCCATTGGAAATGGGAAGAAACACTCCAAAAAGCTACCAACCCCCCCAAGACCCATTGGTAATGGGGGGGAACGCAAAGAAACAAATAACCCCCCCAAGACCCATCACAGCACAGAAACATAACCCCCCCAGCCCAAAAGCAGAAAACAGCACCTTACTTTACCAGGCAGCCTTCTGATCGCACACTCTCTAACTGCTGGGGCGAAAGAGCTATAAAGAAGCAGCCTCGTCATCACCTACAGTTAGAAATTTGAATTTCCTGACTTTTTTCTCTTCCTTTTTCTGTTTGTAAGTGGAAACTTCAGTCACAAGTAGAAGCAAACTTTTGTGGCTGGAGCTGTCACAAGTAGAAGCAAACTTTTGTGGCTGGAGCTGATCGTAACTCAAAATGGTCATAAGGAGGGACGTTTGTAAGTCGAGGCAGCACTATAGTTTCTGGAAGCTCATTCAATACAGTATGACTTACTTTTGAGTAAGAATGTATAGGATTCCTTTATAACATGCTTTTCACTGTATTTTAGTCTCATTGATTTCTTAACATTTTCAAGATTGCTGGTAGATTTTTTTTATTTTTTGTGATGCTTTTTAAAATTTGCAAGGCTATAGCCTGTACATCCAGTTCTGCATGTCTAAATGAATTGGGCCTATATTTTCAATAGCAGACATGAGTTTATTCTTAACAATCCTAAAATCTATCATTTTGAAAATGATAGAAATACCAAATCTACTTCCCATGGAAGGGCTACAGTAATCTAGGCATCCTAGATTATCATATTTTTCAGGCTGCTCTTATTAAAATAACTCATTAGAAGGCAATAACTTACTGGTGAATATTTTTATTTGCTTGCCTAGATTACTGCTGAAGAAGTAAAGGACAATCGAGTGGTCATATTTGAAGCTGAAGCAAGGAAACTGGACAACAAGGTAGAATTTTAGAATTATAGCTCTGGAATGGACTGAATTCTAGAACTGCAAAGCTGGAAGGAGTCATTGGCTGAAATCTTATTCGCTTGGTGCAGTAGCTCACAGTAGAGTAAGCCAACTGAATTGGTGGGGGTTTCTTGAATCAACTTCTTGGTACATTCCATTGATTTAAATGTACAGTGGTGCCCCGCATACCGACGTTAATCCGTTCCAGGAAAACGGCGCTTTGCCGGGGTGGGTGTGGGTGTGGCAGGGGCAGGCCCGCCCCCCCTCGCCCCGCTTTTGGAAGCCTCCTGGGGCTTTTTCAGCAGTGAAAATGCACCTCTGAAAGTGGCACTTTGCCGTGGGGGGCGCGGGGGGGTGGCGGGCCAGCCAGCGAGGGAGCGAGGAAGGAGGAGGAAGCCAGCAAGCCAGCCCAGAAGGAGGTCGCGGCCGCCCGCGCGTCCCTGCCTGCCAGGGGGCGCCTGGTGGGTCCCTTTGTTCTTCTCCTCCCTCGATCCCCAGTGCCACCAGGAGGAACCAGAGGAGGTCCGAACGGGCCGCTGGGAGATGGGTGGCTGCCGCTGCCCCGGGAGGATCAAGCCAGCCAGCCACCAGCCTTTGGAAGAAGAGGAGGAGGTGAAGGGGGAGACAGGGAACCAGGCACCCGGCCGCGCCAGGGCCCTTTCCCTT